TGTATGCTCATGTTCGAGCTCAAGTTAAACCCTTTGGTTGGTAAACTCAATGAGAAGCAAAGAGAGAGATGGAGTTTGAATAGGTTGTCATTTTAGTATTTATTTGGGTAAAAAATGTGTGGTTCGGGAGTTGTAAAATAGAAAAGATGGAGACCTTTGGCTTACAAGTAATATTTTCAATTTTTGGGTCTCATGAGATATGGAAGTTAAAAATAGGGGATAATGAGATATTTTCTCTATAATATAATATTAACATAATATTATAATAAATATATAATATAACATAATATTCTATAATATTATATTATATCATATTAATAATACTAATATTATGTATTTATATCATGCATAGTGAATAGTGATCAACAAAAACAATACGAAAGACTAAGTTCGAATTTCTCTAGCCTGCAGAACTTAATCTTTCATGTTTTAACAAAGAAATAGGAACTTTGTTGGAAGATTACTTTCTGAACTTTTAGATGGAAACCGTGTCAATCGCAAAACTTTTAAAAAATTAGAAAGATTTCTTTCTAAAAGAAATATTTTGAATTTGGTAAACGTTTTGCTCTTGATACATAAGAACTTTTATTTCTTTCTAAAAGATATGTTCCAATAAAGTTTTTATTTCTTTGTTAAAGCATAAAAGTTTAAGTTCTTAAGACATGTAGGAACTTAATCTTTCATAACGTTTTTGTCTCTATTTATATGATATTTTATTTATATATATTAAATAATATGTTTGATATCTTAATTAGTTTTCAATAATATATAATATTAATAAATCAATGGTAATTTATATAAATACTATAATATTTTATATTATATAATATTAGATAATATAAGCATAAGATAAGTACATAATATTAGTATTATTAATATGATATGATATAATATAATACAATGTTACTACGACATAACATATATAATATTATAAAAATATAATATTATATAGATATATATAATATGTATGTTGTTATACTATATATTGTATATATTTATTATATTATATTTAATATTTATGTTATATTTTATATTAATATTTATGTTGTTAATATATATTTGTTATCAATCACGATACGCGGAACATATTTAAACATCTCAAAACAAAACATTCCACTTCCAAAACAAAAATTAGAAAAATTTTTCTTTTTGGAAGATATCTTTTAGCCAAAACAAACATGCCCTAAAACTCTTTACCAAATATTGAAATCTATTTACCTCGTTATGCAATACATATTGGCAGTAGATCACTGTGAGCCTGAGCCTTTAGAGGATTAATGGTGATCGCAGCCAACCTTTTCACCACACTTAATTGACTTTTTCACCACGACAGACCTCTGTACTGGTAGACTAGGGCTTTTCAGTGGGGTATTATTTCACGGCGGTAGAACTTTTTACCGCGATATATACTTTTCGCCACCATATATAAGTTTCGGAATTATTAGTTCCAGACAGCTTTGAATCCATATATCAGTTTATATGTCTAGATAGCTTTGATTACTCACATACAGTCTGCAGTGATTCTTTGATTTCATACAACGAACTATTTGAAACTACTAATTTTAAACCAATAATATTTTGGAAAGAAATGAAAAATGAAAACAGGGAAAAAGACCATAAAATGTAAGAACATTTTTAAACCTCTATTTATTAAAGATATTACTGTAAATTCCCTAGGGTAAAAGGTGGGGGATGTAAAATATGGCATGCCCAATATATAGTAGCCATTACTTCAATGCCATTAGGGTATGTTAGCGCTCTCTATATAGGGTTTCCATTTGACAAATATACGTGTGGATTGGAAAAAAAGACGTATTAATATTACAAGGTCTGTAGTTTTTAACATATTACGTTGTGGTTCTATTGTTTGGATTCTCTTTTTTATTTCTCCTTTTACCTTTGGTTTCAAAGTTAAGACTTTCAAACCATCAAAATATAAAAAAGAAAAAAAAATGTAATTGTGTCGTTTGAAAGCGCAATTTTCAAACCATCTAAAATATGTGTTTGGGCAGTTTGAAACTTCAATTTTTAAACTGCCCAAAATACAAAAAAATTGAATTTGGTAGTTTAGAAGTTACACTTTTGGACCACCCAAACACATCAGTTATTTTTGTATATTGGGCAGATAAATAATTGATCTTTCAAACTGTCCAAACATATGTTTGAAATGGTTTTAAAGTTGTAGTTTTTAGGGAAAATTAGAGATACCCTTCAAAATGAATTTTGTAGACATTTTTCCCCACAATACTTTTTGTATCACAATTTAGACATAAAATATTGTTTTTTCTTGTATTTACCCTCAGTCAAAAGGTCAAAAAAATTGAGACTAAAATGTCTTTCTCCTCTCTTATTCTCTTTACCCACCCTCTATCTCTACCTCCTTTCTCTCTCTACCTGCCTTGCTCTCTTTCTCTCTCTACCCGTTTCTCTCTCTACCACCTTATAGAGAAAACTTAATCTCTCTCTCTTAATCTCTCTCAACCTATGTTTTTACTCTCTCTTTTAGCCTATTTTTCCCCTCGTTCTCCAGAAATCTCTCTACCCATTTTTTCTACTTTCTCCCCACAATCTCTCTAATGAGAGAGAGAAAGAGAGGGCAGGTGGAGAGATAGAGCGAGAGAGATTGGTGAATATAGGAGAGAAAAAGAGAGGACAGGTAGAGCGCAAGGTTGAGAGGGTGGGTAGAGAAAGGGGGTAGAGAGAAAGAGAGTGCAGGTAGAAAGAGGGAATAGAGAAAGAGGACTGGTGGAGAGAGTGAGAAAGGAAAATAACATTTTATTTTCAATTTTTTTTTATATTTTGATTGGAGGTAAATACAGGAAAAAATAATATTTTGATTTAAAGTGTGACACTGAAAGTATTGGAAGAGATGATGTTTACAAAGTTCATTTTGAATGTATCTATAACTTTGTCTACTTATAATTGCTAAGTACATTTCTTTTGTATTTTAAGGCGTAAAATGCAAATAAAAAACCTCAAGAAAGTATGGGCTCAGCATAATATGTCCATACATATTATGGACTTTGTGGTAATAACGCAGTTCTTTCGCACATAATTTATCTTCCATTTTTTATGATAATGCCACTAATGGTTAAGAATATCTATCAAGATGATGGAAATGAAGATCGTTACTTTGAGAAGTGCCCTTCATTTATGCTGAATTTGGAAAATGCTTACAAATACGATTACTTGGTTTTTTCTTGGCTCGACATTGGATAGCTGAGTGTTGGAAAGAGCGACTCGGGGCAGGTGCTCGGCCCAGGCCCGAACAAAGTACTTGGCATGTATCCAAGTAACTCCAACGTAGCAACAATAAAGTGTTAAAAAAAACCAAAAAAAAAAAATATGTTTAATATCTAATTAAACAAAACACATCTAAATGAAGTAAAAAAAAAATAGTGAAAAATCAGTTTGTGATTGAAGATATTTTAAAAATAATCCAACACTTTTCAATTAATATCAAAATGACAAAAAACATAAAAATATATATTACCAGTAAATTTTTTTTTTTTTTAGATTTGTTATAAAACATATTTTGAAGATCCTTAAGTTGGACACCTTATTCGGGGCGATCCCAAGTTACTTGGGCGAGTCCAAGTCGACTCACCCAAGCAGTATAACACTGGGATAGCTTTTCAGGTGCCCCAAATAACTTCCTGGTCAATGTTTTATGATTTGTCTCGGCCCAACAACTCAACTCTAACCTGAGTGAGTAAATCAGTTGAGATGTGTAGACCTTCAAAAAAACCAAAAAAAAAAAAGTTAAATAAAAAAGGATCGAAACACTACAATGAGTATGAATTTTATATTAAGAAAGTATATAATAAGTCTATTTATCTTTGGTACAAGACAGTCACAATTATTCATAACCAATGGTGTAAAATTGGGTAGCTACATTTATCTCATTCAACAAACTCAAAATTCAAAAGGAATGTTTTCAACTTTATGACACACCCAAGCTATCACATTTCACATTTGATGGTTATAAGTAATTGTAATATCTTTGTACTAAAAGTAAATAGTATCGTTGTATATTATTCCTTTGATGGTATATTTAAAAAAGATCGGGATCTTTTGCTTTGAGGCGTGTCTAGACCATTGCCAAGTCCAATTGAAATTCGCTTATATTTTTTTAAGTATTTTCTTATTTTGTTGTAAACATTGAACTGGAAATCTAAACTAATTTTTATATTTTTAACTTTTTCATTATTTTCCCCTTTAATGTTTATCATTCTACACTACTTTGGATGAAGTTTCAATAGGGCCTAGGCTTTATGAAAATAAAATAAAGCCTCATTTTAAATCCTCATCCGAAAAGTACTTTCGACATCGGAAATCTTCATGATGGCTATAAAATTAATTTTCAACACCAACGATAAAAATTTGAAACTCAAAAAATGGTTCAGATCTTGCGAATCTATAAACACTTATTTAGAGTGAAGTGGATGGTCTAAATGATTTGTTGCAATGTACACTATTTTTAGAATTTGAAATCTTAATTTTTTTGCACATTATGGAATTTGAAATCTTAATTTTTTTGCACAACCATAATGTGCAAGCTGAGCTTGAGTTGCAATTCTCAAAATTGCCGATAAGGTTAGACAATCCGAGTCCTCGTCCCCCAAATCCTCTAGTTCTATTTTTTTCTAGTTTACCTATAGTTCCACATGAGGGCGATTGCTAACCCGATTCTAAGCTGGCAATGGGCCTAACCTGAGCTCAGCTCAACCCTAGTCCTAACTCGGCTTTATTCCCCTGAGGACAGGCTCAGCCCGATCTGATCTTCTCGACCCTCCCCCTCCCCCCGCTCAGCCTAGTTTTCTAGCACTGGGCCAACCGGGCCGTGCGACCCTGCCTATTCCCGCCCTCAATACCTTGCACGGTAGCTGACGTAGAATTTCATTGTCCTTGTCATTTCAGTAAAGTTAAGGGTAAGTTTGTTACTTGGCTTTATTGGTGGGACTTAATTCACATGTGCGTTGTTTTATTCCTTGCTTCAGGTCCCAGTAATGCTGCAAATATCGGTTGACGGTCTGTGGTTTTGCACTTTTGCCCTATGGCTGGCGCATTTGGACATGCTTTTGTAATAAATAGAAACTTGAAAAGTGAAATGTGATGACGCTTTTACCCATTTATGTAAATTTCAAATTCATGCCAGAACTTCCCTCCCCATTTTTTGACTACATAATATTATAAAGCTAAAAAAATTGTAATTGAAACAGAAACAGAGAGTTACTGCTCTTCCAAGTCAAAATATATATTTTTATAATATTTTTAAAAGAAAATTAATATAATTATCCGAATTGCAAATTATGCCATTGATTCTTTTCGTCTAGTAATTCTGCGGCAGGAATCGAAATTGAACTGCGACATAAAGTTTCATTACTGGGAACTAACCAACAAGTCGAAGCACGATTCCCAACCCTTTTTTGTTGCTTGATTGCATTAAAAGAACAAAAGATTAAAGAGAAAGAGGAAAGAAAAAGGAAAAAGAAAGGAGTATGAAACAAGTTAACTTGCAAATCATGGGTCTTTCTAATGAGAAAGGAGCATCTTGAGATGTTTTTGTCTCCCAACTCTCTTATCAAATATTCTTTGGCCAAATTTAAGAGAAAGGAAGGTTCAGGAGGCCAAAGAGTGAGAACTAAGAGAGAAATATGGATGCAAATGCCAAAGAATGAGAATACAAAGAGATGGAGGTGGACTTGGGGTTGAAGATCACAAGAGAAAGAGATGGCAACAGCAGCGACATTCGAATTACAAAAGGAAGGGGACCTTCTTTCACTACAATGGAGACAAAGACTACGATTATCCTCCTCGGCAAACTCCGTGGTATGTAAATGAAGTATGAACAATTGTCTATTCAATTTTTCAGTTTCTTTTAATTACATTTGAAATATTTTCGTAGTTTGGAATCACTTTCTTAAATTTTAGTTATGAAATTCGGCTGAAATTAAGATATCTGTTGTGTTTTGTATCTGCGCATGTGTATAAACTGTAAAAGAACTAACACCATCTCTGCACAAAACTAGGATAGAGCATTCAGCACAAAGATGATGTTGACTGTATTTCTGAGTAACATAGTAACAGCTTGGTACCAGTAAATTCAAATTTTACCTATATATCTGTTTCTGGCCATTAAAAACAAGAGCCTCTCAACAGTTAGAGTGAAGTTTTATGTGCCACACCAAATTTTTGTTTGACAAATTTGTAGAACTTGGAGTAACACTAGCATTTAGCATAACAAACTTTGGTGTCATAAACAGAAATTTTATATGTCACACTAAAATGGTAATTACTTAATTAGTTTGAATTTATGGTAGAGGCTACAAAATATGCCTGCAAATGTACTCGGATAGAACTAAGTACGTACCTCTCAATAAATGATTATCAATAAAAATGTAAAAGAACAAAATTTAACTAATCGTGTTAACAAATGGTGGATTTACTTTATTTCGAAAATGTAATTTCTCCTGGATGATGTAAAGATCCCCTTCTCTAACTGTGGTTTACCAAGAAATGCATTGTCAATGTCGATAAAGGTTTTGGTTTCTTTTCTGTAAAACGTAGTAATCCTCAGAAATTTCTGAAAAGTTGACTTTGGTTTTTTACTAGTTTTGGAAAAATTCACACTGTTGCTTATCAAGTTTTCATGAAAAACCATCGTCTCTAAAACTCAATTGGGTTTATTCTAATTTTTTCTATCACCAATCTGTTCCTACTACTGAATATTTCATCATTCCACGTAATTTACAGGTTTCAGAAAGGATAAACTAGGCATAGAGATCGACAATAGTGGAAGCCTAATTACGATACATGGGAAGAAAAATATTCAAGAGATGATTATGGTGAAGTGGACTATGTGTAAGACAGAAACTGAGCCTCGAAGCTTCAGAAAGGTTTTCAAGATACCAGAAAATGTTGATCTCAATGGTATAAGGGCCACATTTGAGGAAGAGGAAGGGATCCTTCATGTATACATGCCTAAGACCAGGCCTGGGGAGATAACAGGCCTCGAAATAGAGGAATTAAAAGCTGAAGAAGAAGAAGAAGAAGAAAAAGAAGAAGAAGAAGAAGAAGAAGAGGAAGAAGAAAAAATGGAAGAATCCGAATCAGTAGTTGAAGAGAATGGGGTTCCAATAAAATTAGAGGACGTACCAGCGAAAGGAGCTATAGAGGAACCAGGAGAAGCTCAAGGGCCTGAAGTAGTGAGCACGAAGGAGCATGAAGTACCTGTAAAAGAATTGGAGAAAGAACAAGGAGACAGTCAAGAAGCTCCTGCCAATGAAATCACTGATCTCAAGGTATCTCAGGTAATAATACCAGGCCCAAAGGAATCAGTTCCAATTGGATTTGCAAGAGAAAAAGAAGATGAAGAGCCTGAAAATGCAAATTTAGAAGGCTTACCTGAAAAGGAGGAAGAAGACGTTAATGAAACCACTGATATCAAAGTATCTATGGAGAAAGTGCCAGATGAAAAGAAACCAGATCAGATTAAACATGTGATTGAACCCAAACAAGAGGAGATTCCGGTTCCTGAAATGAGTCCTTTTGAAGAAAAGAGAGAGAAAGAGCCTCATGTTGTGGAAAAGGAGCCGTATCAGGAAGTTCCTAAGCCAAAACCGGACAAGATTGAACCTGATAAGAAAATAGAGGATGAGCATGAGATTAAACCCTGGCAAGAACCAGAGACTCTGGTTATTGAAAAGACTCCTTTTGAAGAGAAGAGAGATGAAGAGACTCGTGTAATCGAAAAGGAACCGGATCAAGAACTTCCTGAATCGACAGCAGTTCACAAAGAACCACTAACTGAACCGAGGCAAGAGTCAAGCATTCTTGTTACTGTGAAGAGACCTATTGAAGAGAAGATAGAGGAAGTGTCTCTTCCAGTGGAAAAGAAACCACATCAGGAAGAACCTCTGCTTAAAACAAAAGAACTGGAGATTCTGGTTAGTCCTATTAAAGAGAAGAAAGAGGAGTTCGTTGTAGTAGAAAAGGAAGCAGATAAAGAACTTCCTGAATTAAAAACAGAACATGAAGATCCTTTGCTCAAACCAAAACCAGAACTGGAGATACCAGTTTCTGAATCAAGGGCTTTTGAAGAGGAGAGAGAAAAAGAGTTTCCTGTAGTAAAAGTGGAACCCGAAACTCAATATTTTGAGGTAAAAGCTTTGGCTGAAGAGAAATGTGATCAGAAGGTTACTGAGCCAAAAGAGCCCTTTGTCGATAAAGATATTTCTGGAGAGGGAACAAAAGAGTTGCCTCCAAGTGAAGAGGCAAGGGAGCAAGTGAGCCCTGAATTGGAATTGCAGGAAGCACATATTATTGAAGAGAGGAGAGAGGAAAAGCTTCCAAAAGTTGAAACACCTCAATCTTCTCAAGAAAAAGAGCATCTAGAGAAAGAAGCTCTTGAACCTTGTCAAGAAGTTCCAGAAATGAAAACACAGGAAGCAGGTTCAATTGAATTGCAACCTGAAGAGCAACTTCCTGAAATGGAAACACCAGAGGCTTCTAAAGATGAGCATGTTTCTGATGTGGAGATCCCAGAGAAAGCTTCTATTGAAGAGAAACCAGGCGTTGAACTTCCTGAAATAGAAAGTGAAGAGGAGCTTTTAACTGAACAGAAACAAGAAGAGATACTTCCCAAACTAGAAACACCTGAAGCTTCCAAGGAAGTTGAAGAAATTGCAGTAGCAGAAAAACCAGAGGTACCTTCAATTATTGAGAGAGAGCATAAAGAACTTCCAAAAATAGAAACCCCCGCTATTGTAACTGAACCATCTTTAACTGAAACAAAAGAACCAGATCAAATATTTCCTAAAACAGAAACACCTGAAGAGGATCAGATCATAATACGTAGTGAAGAAGAAGAGTCCAAAAAGGTTGAGGATGAAGGACTTGTAAAAACGGATACATTAAGTGAGGAGAAGGATCAAGAGCTTAGTGATTCAGAATCATCAGAGAGCGAAAAAGGTGAAATGGAAACACAGGAGTCGAGAGATGAGAGCGAGGTGAGATGCAGAGATAGGTCTAGGGTTCCACCACTGCTAGGAGGTCGAACATGTTGCGGCACTTGCTTTTTTGCTAGCTCGGCCTTCTTTTTGTCCCTCGTTGTGCTCGTCGTTCACCTGTTAAAAAATCGGAAAAAAACCTCTTGATCCAGAGCTGCAACAACATCCTTCTTGCAATAGTTTAACAACCTCTTGATCCACAGCTGCAACTACATCCTTCCCTCAATGGTTTATGAGGGAGGGAGGGGGCAATTAAAGCTGAAACAACATCCTTCCTGCACGATTCAAATGATATGAGAGAGGTTTAAAACCGCAACAAATCCTTCAAATGCGAGAGAGAGAGAGAGAGATGCTCTGGTTCATGTAGAACTCAATATAAGGCGGATCTAAAAGCCTAGCGCTCTCAATTGTATTTGCAAATCGGGAGTACAGGACGATACGTACAAGAAAACAAAAATGTCTTGTATACGAGACGATCTTGTGTTTTGGGTACAATTTGGTGGTTACATTTGTTTTTGACACTTAGATGTTGGGCCAACAACGGACTAGGCCCGCGATGGACCGGCATTGGGCCTAGTCCCTGCACCAGTGCCAATGCCAATGCCAATGCCTAGTCCCTACACCAGTGCCAATGCCTAGTCCCTACAGGGACATGAGCCCTGGCTCTAGCCCTCGCCCAACCTTGTCCAAGTCCAGGCAAAATATAATTAAAGAAACAAAGTAAGGAAAAAAGGGCCAACAAGTCACTGGCGGCCCTCGGGCCACCTCTTGTGTAGGGTTCATGTATACCCTTATTTGTAGAACTCAGAAGCCTAAGCATTAAGATTCTATCTAAGATCATGTACACAATTGGCTAATTAAGAAGTAGGTAAATATAACCACAAATCAGGGGCAAGTAATAAAACAAAAGCAAAAGCACACCTCTATAACACACATATTTATGTGATTCACTTATCTCCACAACCTTGGCAAGTAGAAATCCATCATCTTCAATGAAGATTACACTTCCTAAGTCACAATAGATATACCTCTCTAGACATTGGCAAAAGTCTTTCATCTCTTCTAAACCTGCTATGTCAAGCAAGCAATCAACTTCATCTTTTCTACAACTACACCATTAAACGAAAAGAGATCTTAAGAGTAACTAATTGGCTTTCTTTCTCTGGACATAGAAGCTATCAAGCAAAAACTCTCAGAGAAAACCATGTTTCTCTCTTGGAGACCCAAAGATGCCTTCTTAGAACCCCAAAGGGGTGACGGGTTACCCAAAATGGATAGGTGTTATAGCTTCCTTGACATCTTTATACAAAGATCACTACGGTCCCGTGCTTGTTTTTCAAGAAACACCAGTTTTTCCATTTTATTAAAGATCATAATACCTTCAATCTTTTGAAAATATATGAGTGGTGATTTGACTATCACCAAACCTAACAATCTCCACCTTAATAGCAAAATTATCATATTCCCCTTTTTAACATTTATTGAATAGATTTCTTGGTTTGTTTTCTCTTATCCCGTTGTTAAATCTTTAGAAGCACTTTGCCTCCAAATTTTTCAATGTCAAATAATGTGTCCATCTAACTTTACCATTCAATTTTTCTTTACCGGAAATTCAAACCTTAGCCTTATACTCACCTTGTGCTATAATACCATTTGTAGGGTCCTTGTGAACTCCTCACCTGTGGAACGAAGAACCCCAAACATTGCGATCCAACCCAAGATTGTCTACATTGTTGACTACGTGAAATAGATAAATACACTCACAAATTATGTATAAAAAATAAAGTAAAACCAAAAACACATATTTATGTTGTTCACCTTGTAGGCTATGCTCATGACCTCAGCAAGAAGAAATCTATCGTATTTATGAAGATTATAACTTTGGGTTGTAAGAGATATACCTCTTTTTAAACATTGGTAAATATCACACCAATCTTTCTTTTGAAACATGCTCTCCCGACCGAACAATACAATCAATCAAAACTGGAAAGAGAACCTTGAAAGCAATTGAGATACTTTCTCTTTCTAGAAGTGGAAAATATTAATCCAAAACTCTATACGAAAAGATCTCTCTCTCTTTGAGATCCCCTCTCATGATCCCAAAGGTAAAAAATATAAGCGCCTGAGATCCCTTATCATGATCCCAAAGGTAAAAAATATAAGCGCCTAAGATCCCTTCTCATGATCCCAAAGGTAAAAAATATAAGCGCCTAAGGTCCCTTCTGATGATCCCAAAGGTAAAAAATATAGGTGTGGTAATTTTGTCTATTACCGAACTTTAAATTGCGGCCCAGTCACAAGTTTTTAATGGCCGAGCATGGCTAGGCCGACTAGCCTAGTTAGATATGAAATAAGGTGCTTGAAGATGTGTTATTGACATACATGAAGTCCAAAATAGAATTTCTTCCCTAACAAATCCATAAAAAAGGAGAGCTGATCTCAAACGACATTTATTGACAATGTTCCATTTAGGTTGTGTATTCCTCACAAGGTTCATGCTTTCTTTGGTCATATTTTAAGGTAAAACTTTGAACTCTTGATAATTTGGAAAGAGAAGGAGAGTTGTGGTGAATGGATGCTTGTTTTGCCAGACTAAGGAAGAAACATGTGATCACTTGTTCTTGCATTGTTTTTTACTTTTAAATTATAGATGTAGGTGTTGCAAAAGATCGGGTTTATGCTCAGCTTGCCTATGAGACACACTGATATCGTGAACCACACCGAGTTAATTGGGTTACCAAAGGTTGGATGTATGATATTCGTGCTGCTTTATTTGGAAAGTTTGGATGGAACGTACTAGAATAACCTTTGAAGGGAAATGCCTCACTTTGAATTCCATCAAAGCCAAAATTATACAAAATTTATGGAGTTGGTTACTTTTACAATCCAGATAGGAGAATCGGCCATTTTGGCTTTAAAAAGTTCTAAAAGATCAAGTTTCTTATGTTTCTAAAGAGATTGGAGCATTGCATTTTAGATTTTGATTATTTCATAAACAATATATAAATATTGAGAATAGTATTTTTAGACCACTGCATCCATTTCATATAAAAATGAAGAGGATCTCTCTTACTAAATTTTTTTTTATTTTGTATTTTTATAATCTCTATTACTATATGTGCTTGTAAATATAGGGTTCTTGTCTACTTATTTATTGTTTTCCACTTTTTCTAAAAATTAATTTACTATTTTAGGTCAAAAGTAGCTAAAAAAATAGAAATCACAAAAAAATCTAAATATTAAATTAATAATATACATAAAACAAAAGTACCATATATCTAATAAAATAATATTATCGAGTTTTTTAGATAAGATAGTCTATTCATGCTAAAATTAATTACGTCCATGTCCTAAGAGAAGCTCAAATGATTAATGCTACATCAAAGTTAATTTAAACATTAACTTTGAGAGCAAATTATGTCCGAACACTATTAAGAGGGTCTATTACCAAATGGGCACTCATTTACTCAAAATTACAAGCACACCCCCTCCCACAACAATTTTTTTTTTCATAAGTTGTCCCCCTCTCCGGCAATGCAAACACCCGGACATGGGGCATCCGTTTAAATTAGGTGAATTTGATGTCCAATGTTTGAAATGCCGGACAACTATTTGACGTTTAAATCCTAACCTACAATTTATGTAAAAAATAATAAATTAGATTAAATTTTGGAGATATTTCTATTAGAGATTGATATAATAATTTATAACTCAATTGCAATTTTACATTTTCCTAGCAATTACTAGAAATTTGAAAGTATAAAAATGGAACAACTTGGCTCCCACAGCTTTTGATGGAACATTCCAAGTTAAAAGCAACCATGGCGCATACGTGCCATATATTATTAGCATTGGTTGACTCTAGGTTTTTTTTCTATTTATTATAAAAAATTAGATTAATTTCTCCATTTGTGATTCACTCTTGCAATGGCCGTGCCAAGCTTATCGATTTAAGAGAAAGAGTGCGAGTTTGGTGTTTTCGGACAAGCTTTCTATGATTCCCCTAGAGCATAAAATTTATATACTTTTTTTTAAACATCCGTCTCTTCTGAATGGATGGTTAAGATGGCCCCAATCAAAATGTCACGCCTCTACATTATTTTATTTAATTTTTTTTAGAAAATACTTTGAGATCAAATTTTGGGCGTCTAATCCTCTCTTAAACTCACATTTGTACAATATATATTTATATATATATATATATTATATATATATAATCTACATAAAGTAAAATAACCAAAATACTCTTGAAAGTTTCATATTTTATAAAAAAACTCTTTATAATTATTTTATATAATCTAAATAAAATAAAATAACCAAAATACTCTTGAAAGTTTCATATTTTATAAAAAACTCTTTATAATTATTATTTTTAGGTGCACCCCCAATGAGAAGATAGCACATACCGAATTTCATAATCATACAATTTGTAGAGAAAACTAAAAATAAAATACTCTAAGGCGTCAGATCTATATCAAACGGTGATTGACTCGCTTGAGCAAAATTGGACGGTTGGATGGGAGGGGAAGCATATATCCTCTATGCTATATGGGAAGCATAGAAACCTAGTGTTATAAACCCACCAATGTTTGAACTAAATTTGGGTAGGAATCGGTTGAGACTGAAGCAGTTCCATGATAGTACGCGTCCTGATCCGGTTCCACTAAAACCACTTCATTATTTTTTAAGCTTATCTAGTTTTTTAGGTCCCTATATATCCCCACTTGATAAACCCATTTTAATATTTCAACTTTATTTTTAATATTTTGCTAATTCGAACTGATTCGTATCGCCAATACACAAATTTATCTATCGGTGAACGAACTCTCCAACCAATCCGGGCTTTGAAAGACTGCAATAAACAGTATGAACAAAAAGTGTATGGTATGGCCACCTATTTAGTTACCATAAGATACCAGCTACTTGGGGAAGCCCTGATGTAATTGGGTGTTTAGTGAAATGAAAAACAGAGTTCGCTGTTAGAGCTTGAAAAAAAAATGCCTCAAGATTGTATAAGAAACCCCAAATTACATTCTGTATGAGCTAGAGAAAATAGTGCCTGAAGATTGTATAGAAATTGGGAGGGAATTATTTTTTCAAGATTGTATAGAAATTAGGAAGGTATTATTGTAGGTATTATTTTTTCAAAAAAAAATATATTTTGGGTAAATCAGTGGAGATAACGACCCCCCGAATTATTTTTTCAAGGTTGAAGATTCCTCCCTTGGGAGGGCATCCAAGAGTTGGCTGCTCCCCGTTGAGTTATAGGATGGGATGAAGGAAACAATCAAGCAACTGGAGTTATTAATACAACTAATATTATGTATTTTTTATAGGTAATTTTAAAATTACATTAAAAATAAAAAATAAAAAAAAATAAAATAAAAAGGGTAATTTCATACTTTTCCATCATTGAGTCGAAATGGAAAATAAGTTTTCATGTGATGTAAGAAATTGCGGCCTCTAAGGCTCTCGACCTCTTAAAGCTAAGGCACGGTATCTCTTAAGTCAAATCCGGGTCATAGCAATACTCTCTCTCTTAAGTCAATCCATGTCAGTCACACTCTCTCTTAAGTCAAGTCCGGATCATAGCAAACAGGATTCAATTAGCATTATCTTTATACTGTACTTGAAATTTTGAAAAAAAAGAAAAAAGACAGCCTTTCTTGCATCATTCAAACCAAGAAACTAGAACGCAACTCAAAAAAACACTTCATAGATCACACGGAACCCTCTTGCTGCAG